TTCTTCCCTGCGTACGTAAGGCACCGTGACGGCAACAATACATCGCAACCATCGCCTACTGGGTTCTCTTCATTCCAAAGGCTTCCCACCGAACTTCAGCTCCGTATCCTCTCATGTTGTTCGATACCAACCCTTTGGCAGCTCATGCGAACGTCATCCATGCTACGCAACGAGTCATCAAAGCTATTCTGGGGACATCCCGATGCCTCTTTCCTCCTGTCCAGTTGTTGGATTAGTAGAGGCGGCTATTCTGGTCATACTTGCGTCGACCTTGCGTTCCTTGCCTACGTACAAAACGTAGAGATTGAGTACAGCTGCCTGCACTACTGGCTTTGGCCGAAACGAGAAGCAAAGGCATCATTCCGCCTAGAAGACGTGCAACAAGACATTGTGGCTGGATTCTGGTCTACATTGAAGAAGAGATGCCCGGCAGCTAAGAGGGTAGTGTTCAATCAGAATTTGATGCTCTGCGACGTCATGGAGGAAGTCGAGAAGGTGCCACTATGCCTGGAAGTATTGTTACGAGCTTCTCCAAAAGACATCGTCGCTGAGGCAGTCATCATGCAGACGCGAGAGAAAGGTGAAAATTGGAAAACCGACTTGTACAACTATAGGGAGAAGCCGCAGTGGAGAAATGCATACTTTCGGCCTCTTGGAGATGGAGGCTGGGAATATCTTGATGCGACAACGCGTAACAACACAGTACTAGTGCCTGGACGGCTATTTCGCGGTATAGTCGGGCAGTTTGAGAAAGATAGCTTTATCTTGGATAGGATCATCTTTCAAGAACGCGCGTTTTGGCCTCTCGTCATAGAAGCCTTGGACCGACACCACTTCGATAATGGGAAAAGCAATGCTTTCGAATGCCCTAAGCTCGAATGCACGGTGAGATTTACAAAGGCTGGCGAATGGACGATACATGCAGCGACTACGTCACATGGCTACGCTCGAGCTGAGGATGATCTCTTTGATATACTGCCTACAGAACTGCGAGGAGAATTCGAGGACAGACACAATGTTTTGATGATGAAGAGACAGGAATTGAGGGAGGACTACACAAAGATCTTGAAAGATTGGAACGAAGAAGGCGGGGAAAAGAGAAAAAGAATGGAACAAGAATATCTTCAACAACTGGAAGACGATCCAGATTGGGCGACAGACCAGCCGGCGGCAGATCACCGGATCTGGAGGAATTTCACAAGCATGATGGACCTGACCTAGAATGGATAGTGAACAGGGTTTGCGACCTGGCGGAGAGTGTATAATGACATTGTAGGGAACTAGTTCGGTCGCGACTCGGTAGTTTCAAAGGGTCGCATGCCGGTAGTCGGAAAATGCAGTGATCAATGCAAGCTAGATCGTTTGGAGCCTCACGGGCGCGACGTGAGCTTGATCAGGATCAGTAATGCTATCAAATGCCCAAGTCGCAGTAGAGCCGGCTCGGTTTGTTCGGTTCCGTACAGTGTCTTCGGTACCAACTCAACCATGAGTTCGAGATCAGGTGCATCGGCAAATTGTAAAGAGCTGAACGATCCGGTGATGTGTTTACTCAACAGGCTACGGATATCACCCTACTCCACCTCCGATGGGGCCAGCGCGTGCACTGAGATGCTCAGTCGGACACCGACTTTGCCATCTCGAACCATCGGGCCGTAAAATTTTCTCGCTCAGCATGTACGCTACTAGGCGTATCGATATGCAAATTTTGAGCCTCATCCTACCCACAACGCGTCTCGAAGCACGCGTGGGCCGTTCGGAGCTGTCGGAGCATCCGGAAACGGAAAGCCGACCGCCACTATAACGTGAATTCGCGTGGCAGACCGTCTAGAAGTCAGCGACTTGCATGCCCCACGTGCAAATGTCGGGGGCCGGTCGGGGGCAGGTCGGAGGTGGATCGAGAAATCGATAGTGGAGATTCCGCGGAGGAGTGAATCGTGCACCGGCAGCCGGTGTGCCATGGGGGCGAGGCGCCAGGCGTTCGAGACGGTAGCCGAGCTGACGTCACGGGTCGCATTCTTAAGTTCGATAATCAAGGCTAAGACGCGTGGCGCAGCTTGGCGCGGACGATCGGCGCAGCTTGGTCTGCCTTCTTTCGATGCTTAGAGGGCGGGCGGAGGCCTTGTGTTGGAGGCTTAAAAGCCAAGATCAAGTGTTGCGAAACCATCTGTGGTGTGGGAATCGTGCGAAGATAAGACTTGCAATGCAGTCAAGGATGACGTAGCACACCTTCTACCGATTACTCGGTGTACACCCGACAGTGAGGAGATGGCAAGGCGTCCCGCGTGTCTGTCCAAAGCCAATACTACCTTCGCTTCGGTCGACGCGCACTTAAGTTTCGACCCATATTTAATGCTACATCGCCTGGTCTGAGAGGTCCCGGGGACAGTGTCCAACGGCCTCTAGCACCAACGCGCCATAGCGCTCAAGCCCTGTCAGCCGTGGAAGCTGTAATATGACGTTTCGAGGATTCGAGCGCGTGCCTTGTGATGCGCACAGTGTGCATTGGGCTCTTTGGAGCGTGCACCCGCGCCTCTGGATTCACTGCGCGTCTTATAAGTTGCTTCTTCCGCCTGCGTGACGTCTGGGTTTTATCATCTTACCCCAGATTCTCCCACCCAGTCCCCGCAACTGGTTCCCGGGTTGACTACTTTTGACCAACAACCCACCCAAGCGCATTGCTGTCGACAACATGGCGTCTGCAGCAGAGCGTAAGCCCGAAATCCACGACATGGACACCGTCAACAAGAACGAAGCTGGTGACGCTGAGAAGAAGAGCGCTTCCGACGGTGACCTTCACCACACTGAGAACCCGGCCGATCACGCGATCACCGCCGCCGACAAAGAACACTACGAGAAGTACGGCACCTACGATCGCTACGAAATCACCGAGGAAGACTGCTACGACGAACTCGGGTTTTGCTTCCCAACATGGAAGAAATGGACCATTCTCAGCATCGTCTTCATGGTGCAGGTCAGCATGAACTTCAACACCTCGCTGTACAGCAACGCCGTCGGGGGTATCTCTGAAGAGTTCAGCGTCAGCAAGCAGGCAGCGCGTCTGGGTGCAGCCATCTTCCTCATCACCTACGCGTTCGGTTGTGAGCTCTGGGCTCCCTGGAGTGAAGAGCTAGGACGATGGCCTATCCTCCAGCTCAGTCTCTTCTTTGTCAACATCTGGCAAATTCCCGTGGGCATTGCGCCCAACTTCGGTACCATCCTTGGATTCCGTGCACTCGGCGGTCTCTCTACTGCGGGTGGTTCAGTCACTCTCGCCATGGTCGCGGACATGTGGGAACCGTAGGTACTTGGCGCCTTCATTCGATTTTCGTACTAACAGTGTTAGTGACAACCAACAATACGCCGTCGCGTTCATCGTCTTCTCCTCCGTCGGCGGCTCGGTCCTCGGACCCATCGTGGGTGGCTTCGTCGAACAATTCCTCGCCTGGAGGTGGAATATCTGGATCCAGTTGATCTTCGGTGGAGCCGTCCAAATCGCCCACGCCATCTTCGTTCCCGAAACCCGTACCACCGTCCTTATGGACCGGATCGCTAAGAAGCGCCGTACAGAAGGCGAGAAGAACGGCAAGCCCAACAACATCTGGGGACCCAACGAGCTCAAGACGTTCAAGGAACGTTTCAGTGTTCACGAGATTCTCGTTACCTGGGTCCGTCCCTTCCGCATGTTCGTCACGGAACCCATCGTGCTCGTTCTCTCCCTGCTCTCCGGTTTCTCCGATGCCATCATCTTCATGTTCCTGCAGTCTTACGCACTCGTATACGAGCAATGGAACTTCTCCGCCTACGCTATCGGACTGACCTTCATCGCTATCGGTATCGGCTACTTTATCGCGTGGTTCTCGTTCTTCCCGGCTATCAAGCGCAACGAGCGCCTCCGTCGCGACCACCCCGATGATGAGAGGTCTCAATACGAGGCGCGTCTTTGGTGGTTGCTGTACACCGCGCCATGCCTTCCTATCGGTCTCATCATCTTCGCTTGGACAAGCACTGGCCCACCAATCCACTGGATAGGATCTCTGATTGGATCAGCAATCATTGGTATCGCCAACTACGCCATTTACATGGCAACCATCGACTACATGATCTGCGCATACGGTCCTTACTCAGCCTCCGCGACTGGTGGTAACGGATGGGCTCGTGACTTCCTCGCTGGTGTTCTCACGCTCCCCGCCACACCTTTCTTCTCCAACATTGGCGGAGAAAACCATCTCGCATACGCGTCAACGATCCTCTTCGCTATATCTCTTCTTCTCGTAGTCTCGGTCTACGTCATCTACTGGAAGGGTCCCGAGCTCAGGAAGCGCAGTCCCTTCGCGCAGCAACTTAGTGCTGCTCGTGACGAGACTGGTGGTCGCCGCGTCAGCAGCCTTCCAGGCATGTACGGTTCCCGCGCAAACTCATTCGCGCAGCAAGGCGGCTCGATGCCCAACTCTCGCAGGGGTAGTGTGGTGCGCGGTGTTCCGGGTGGCGAGAACAGGTACGCGATGCACCGCAGGCAGAGTGCGCGCAGCGCCGGAGGTGCTTGAGCGCCGCTTGTGTTTCTTAGTAATACAGACGATACGGCATAATGATATATTAATGTTCATGAATTGATTGTGTGTTGCTCTCGTGAAGATGTTGGTGACGGATGGCGATCCCAAGCCTTGTGATCTGTGCTGGCTCTTACATAATCGAATCTGCCCTGCTGTTGCCGTTGTTGCGCGACTCCGTCTCGAGACACCACGAACACTAAAATCCTTGTTGTTTTTATACCAATACGATCACGCGACCGCTGATGCGACAGCACAAGCACTCTTGTGACGAAGAGCGCATGTACCTCCATACTGCGGACGCCACCAAAGAACATCTCGCCGACCCAGCGGCCTAGCTAGATTTGCGCCGAAAACATTTCGTCCACACACGAAACAACGGGACTTTATCCACCAAATCCAACCAATATCTCTTAGAGACAAAGATAGGTTTGTCTTATCGCCATGGTGTTGTTATACAACCGCATTCGGGACTGTCTTTGGGGTTATCTCCTCCGGGTTGACCGGGGTGTCCGTACCATTCCCATGTGTGTGCGTACTCTCTTCGAGCCTGCTCTTTTTCGAGAAGAAGCGCAAGATCTTCTTCTCGACATCAATACCCTTAGCCTGCCAGGTTATTGCGTCCTCGAACTCATCGAACTTCACGCCAGCTTCTTTCGCGCGTTTACGGATCCCACGAGTTCGGAACAGCCAGACCCAGTGTGAGACGACCATACTCATCTCGATGGCACAGCTAAGCATCGTTAGTCTTATTCACTAATAGCATGATTACCACGATACATACCATAATGCGTACATGGTCCCGAAGAGCACGTCAAACTCGTTCTGGGCTACGAGAGCCATCAGCGAGAAGAAAGCGCCGTTCCAATCGATGGCCAAGAAGATGAAGTCTATACCTACGACACGGCCCCGTCTCTTGAGTAGCTCAAATGGGATAGGTATGTAGCCTGAGATGAGAGTGAGAAAGGCGACGATGCCGATCAATAGGACTGGCCACTCCAACCCGTCGGCGTATGGCTGTCGGATAGCATAAACAAGACCAACTTCAACCCCTGCGAATAAGACGAGAAGAGCGAAGAGCAGAAGAGATGCAGTCCAGGTTCGCCATTTCCTAATCCTGGTTAGCCGTCCGATCTTGACAGGCAATGTGGTTTCATTTCGATGGACTCACCGGCTGTAAATCAGACACTGCGCCCAACTAACACCGCACAACACACAGAAGCACTGCGGCTGGACGATAAGCGGGATGTTGAATTGCTGCGCGATGGCGTACACTCCGAAGGGCACTCCACTAATTGAACATAGCAGCATCATGGACTCAGGCAGTCCATCTGTTTTCTTGGTTCTCCAGTTCCGGTATATTTGCGGTAGTAATTGGACGCACCAGAACACTGTTCCAATGGTCCCGAGTACGTTCGCAGCTAGAGGTATTGACGTCTGTGGCGCCATTTCACGTCGGCGGAATGAATTCGAGAATGAATAACACGATTATGATCCCAAGGGTTGCGAGGTTGGAAGCTCTACCGCAACTCAGGTAAGAGGTATTAATGTGTCCTAAGTATCGGTGGCGAACTAGGAAGTGAAATTGCTGGCCCGCTATCTAGCTCATATGCCGACCAGTGAGAGCGCGGTGCAACAGCGGCTCAACCACGAAATCGCAACTTGGGAAGCCCGTTATCCTTTCACAGTTTCTCCGCTTCCTAGATGGGCGAAGATTAAGCCAATCCTACTGGTGTATTCTGCGTTCGCTTGGTCCCGTGCTGCGGGTAGCTAGGATCACGCTATACGAGTCTGGCAATAAGACGACATGTGGTGCATGAGCTCTCCCCACTCTTTTCTACGGATGCCAATCCGGGTTGTAGACCCTCGGTATGCTGCCCGAGTCCTTTTGTCTGAGATGCTTCGTTCGGGTTTCGCGGGCGGGCTTCAAGTCTTCCCGTGAGGGACTTTGAGTGTGTACATTGGTCGGGTTAGTGAGTCGATAACGGTGGTTTACCAGGGTTGTTCGTCGAAATGGTCGTTCCCGTACTCAACCATGGTCTACAATACTTCTAGTTCGAGAGAGATATGTTATCCGATTCATCGTTCGTGTCTCGGGCTCTTTGTCAACCCCTTAGCTGTATATTCATTTCCATTGAAACTGTCACTACTGTCGTCAATCCCGTTTTCTAACGATACTCTACACCAATTGACTTGGGAAGCTTTAGACAAGTACCACAGTGAGTGGTATCAATGCCTGTGAGCTCTATGGAGAATGTATGACGGAATCGTTACTGCGTTAAGAAGACTGTAGATCCGAAAGAAAGGTGGGTATAAGGAAGTAGCCGCATCGTTATTGCGTTATGCACGTAGTGAATATGCGGGTGCATACACGGCTGCCTATGGCTACCACTTTGCATATATATTCCGTGCTCTATTGACTGCATAACACAGAAGATCGTCCTATCAACCTACAACAAACGCCTCAACACATACCGCGTACCTTTCGCAAACTCACTATGGCCGCCGCAACCCAGCCCGATGGCTTCTTGACTCTTCCCGCTGAGCTCCAAGTCAAGGTCTACAAATACGTTCTTGCCGCCGTTCCGAAAGCACCTGGCCCAGGTAATCTCGCACCATATGCCGGTCTCCTTCTGTCGTGCAAGAAGGTTGCCTCCGACTTCGAGTACGAATGGGCTAAATACTACAACGCGCGTCTCCAACATATCGTCGAGAACACTTGCTTTCACCCATTGCCTGTCAAACGGTATGTGCATGCGGCGCATCTTCGTATCTTAGTCGCACAGCCGGGGCCGGGCCCGGGGCCATACGTTTACGATGTACGAGCACCACCAGACTTCATGGAAATGACGCGGTTCTACACTCTGAGGCTATCCTACCCAGCTCGCGATCTTACAGTAGATCAATTTCTCTCCTTAGGTCAAGCACTTCAACTCCAGGCCCTACAGTCAGGAGTCGCATCAAGCGGAGTCTTCCCTCGGGTTGACTTCAGGGCGCAGGAAATACACTGTTCTTCTAAACCGATTTTCGAACTCCAACACTCCCAGAGTAGCCAGCATGGAAGCCAGAGCGATCATGTTCGGCGTCTGACCCTCGAATCCATACCAGCTGAGATTCGGGATCAGATTTTGTACCATGTGCTATCCGAGGGTCCGACTATGGAACAAATTTGCGATTGGTTGGATGTGTTCAATAACTCGCCTATGATTCAGGGCCACATTATGTACCGCGCCTTCGGAGACCGTTGGTTCAGGTTTCGGTGAATATAGCAAGCGGGGCACATGGAGGAGGTTTGGAAGGTGTCGATAATCCAGAAGCAAACGAGCCACGTAATGATGGAACTGATGAGATCTTCGTGTATATAGCAGGGTCCAGTAAGGGAAAGCATCCAGACTCCAGTTCCCAATAGTTCGCTCATGAAGCCGTCACCGAAATCGACAGTGTGTTCGTGGATCTATTGTACTCGGCCTGGTGTAGCTTCAGTTGACGTCTCCTCATTCTACGTGCCAAGTCGTACTAGCGTATCAGCAGATGTCCCCATCGTGTCTTCCGGGTCGAAAATCTCCTGCGCTACGTTGCGCCATTGTTTGAGCGAGACCTATGTATAGTGTGGGGATATCTGTCGACGGAAGTGAGCGGAGTCCTGTCAGGCCATTTGGGTGATTATGTAAGACGAGCTAAGTGAGCGGCGCCGATCTTCATACGTCACAACCCCCTCGCATCAGTCACCGCCAAATCCATCAGCACAGCCTCGGGCAATTTTGTCGTATATTCACCCATCTCACAACTACCAGCGAGAACGCAGTCAGAGCTATCTGCCGTAACAATTTTCCGATACCGTGATGTACGGCAACGTCTTTCTCACGTAATGACGATGAACCTAGAAATATGGCAAGTGCGCTCGGCCGGAGGCACTACCACTGAAAACCACCGAGATCCGCTACCCTAAACCACGCGGTGACCAGAGGGTCATAATGATCGCGATCAGCACTCAGCTTGCAGCATAGACAATGTTGGCTGCTGTTGAGGAGAAGCAAACCGAAGCCACCATCACATCTCATTCGCAACTCGCCCAATCAGCATATGCGGCCCAAGATCCCGACAGCCATCCCAGATACGATCGACGTCATTATAGACCGTTGTTCTGCTCGAGGCATCTCAAGCGATCCAATTCCGTTGTAAGAAGTGTTCGCATCGAGGTGTATCGTGATGTGCAGAGCTCAGGTGTCATTCCGATGGAACGCCTATCATGCACGCGCGTCGAAGGTCCCTTGTCGTTACCGGATCTTTACATCCTGAACTTTGTGGGGTAGCGCCATCGGCTCCGCGATCCCCCAATAGTGCAAGCCACGGGCCGCTTCAAACAACGAAATTTTCTTAATAGCCTTGGTAGGCTCTACCTCACATCTCGCTATGCATCCCACGACATCCGCAACGAATGCCTCCTAGGACTCCCCATGGGCGAAGAGATCGCTCCACCCCAAGATTTCGGTGCTTGGGGTCCGTTTGTTCGCGACAACTACCGCCCTATACGTGTGACCCGCGCGGACATAGCTGTAGCGGCTGCAGCATTCGGGTTGACCAACTTCTTCGCCATAACCGCAGCCTTCATCGCCATTAGGCAGACGAAAGCATGTCGGCGCCCGAGGACCAGTCTCTATATCTGGATGGTTTGGCTGGAAATCGCGGCTTCGGTAGCTCTCGCCATCGATTGCCTGTTGTATCTGTTGAGGATTATAGAACCTAGCTTTTACTTCTTCTTCTCAGTCCGCAAGTATACCGTAGCCTTGGCATCTGTACTTGGCTGACATCAGCAGTGCTTTGCTGGGTTTTTCAAATTCAATTACTGCCTCAAATCATCATCAATCGCATTCGCATCATCCTTGGGGATCGAGTCAAAGGCCGGCGCCTCGTCGCAGGCGCCGCGATCTATGTGACCTTGATCAATATCAGCGTGTTCATCATCTGGATACCTGCGCGGCTGCAAATAAGCTCAAAGTACGCCTGCAATCCGTTTTTCACAAGTACGCCCACTAATGGACGCAGTTGGGTTCGAATTAACGCTATTTGGGATCGCACCGAGAAAGTATTATTTCTTCTCCTCGATGGATACCTCAATTGGTACTTCATTCGCGTCGTCAATGCGGATCTGGTTAAGAACGGCTTAAGCAAGTACAATCGCCTGGTCCGTTTCAACAAGCGCATCATTGTCGTCTCTCTCCTGTTGGACGTCTTGATCATTGGCGCAATGAGCATCCCCAATGGATTTGTGTGAGTTTGGCTTGCTCAAGTGCACTCTCGCTCAAAGCGACTAACTTTTACAGATACGCTATGTTCCATCCTCTTGCATACCTGGTCAAGCTCAACATAGAAATGTCTATGGCTCACCTCATCAAGACCATAGCCCTAGGCAGCCCGAACCCTGGTAATGACCCTTCACGACTCTTGACTTTCTCGTCTTCGCCCGGTGAAGACATGTTCAATGCCAATATGTTTGCGGAAGTACCACAGCAACGACGTTCGCTCATTCGCGGTTTGTTCGGCAGCGACCATATCTCGTTCTCGCAAGAAGACGTCCGCATGAGAAAACCGGGAGATTCCTCTACAGGTAGCACATCCGTGCCTGATTACGAACTGCCGTCTTGGAAACCTAGGGCGGAGAAGGAGCCTGATACGAATGGCAGCGATAATGTCAGCTCTGAAGCGAAGAACAACACGAGAACCCACCAAGAGAACTGTCGTCAGGAGAGCAAGGTGCCGAGAAGGACCAGAAGTCTGGATGGAGGACCAAACATCCCCATGCCGGCGGCAGTACATCTTCCTACTCGAGCAAACACATCGGAAGTTGGTTGAGCAATTCTTGCGAATCGCTACATTCATCACCTAGCAACTACTTAGACCAGGGGTACAATCCTCCTGACGCTAGTACTACGTCATGTTGCCGACTGCGAATCGCACCGAGCCCACTCAACGCGAACCGGGACCATTGACCTACCAGAGGGATGCGTGATGGGACCAGTGATGCTGCTTAGTTTGAAGCGGATCGCATCGCCTCAACAAATCGCCATTACATACGCCCCTTGATCGTCATGTAAGAGGTACGAGGCTGCATGCAGGCTTCTCATGTCACACAGCGTCTTCGTGTCGCTTGAGCGCACGATTTCCATCTCCAACGGCATAAGAAAGTGGCGCATACACTTGTCAATCCTCCGCATGAGTTTGCAGATGCGAGAGCAATGCCGCACAAGAACCGGAGATCAGACATGTTACTGATTGAACGACACACTGTTCGGGCCAGGGCTGTTCCGACAGTATTTGGGGTTGCTTCTACGACATACAAAACGTGTCACGGGCGGCTGCTTGACTGTGTGTCCTTGGGAAGATTTCACACAAACTATTGGGATGAAGTGCAACAACGCATACGTGCTGCAATACCCCTGATCTAAACTGTTCTTTCATTTGGCTGCTAATCAAGAACAAATCCATTGGTCAGACTCGCTCGTACAAGCGCTATGGGTACTTACGGCTGTGAAACAAACATGCCGCGAGAGGAAACATGCGCGTGGTATACCTAGCCGACAACCGAAGACTATTGACTGAAAGAGATTGTCTTCCCGCTTGGTACTCTGTGTCATGATGTTGCCCGGTAAGAAATACGCGGCACATAGGTATCACGAGAGGACGAATCAATGTAATGTTTGGTAGCCAAATATAAGAACCAGCATCACCCCACCGTGCCGGCTGCTGATACTTCTTCATACGCACCTAAACCCACCTGAACGTGTGACTTCTCAATCGAGCAACTTCACCAACGTTCCGTACATCGAACCCACCGAATCGCAACATGAAGTACAATTTGTCTTTCGTCGCTTTCATGGCCCTCGGCTTTGCCGCAGCAGAAGGCATTCGGGGCGAAGCTCGCATTGAGAAGAAGAGGTCAGATTCAGATCTATGTATGTACATCCCTTCCATCCAACCATTTCAACCCCAGAAACTGATAACCTCAGATTCCGTTCCCGTCCCCGACTCAGTGCACATAGAGTCCTACCCTGCGGTCCCACCGCCTGTAGAGCCTACCGACATCAGCTCCGACGACTCGTGCTCCACGGCCCTCACCACAATCACGACTACGCGGACCGTCTCTGTCATCACGCAAATTCCTTCCAGCCTCGCTAGTGTCACCGGTACCGCCGACCTAAGCTCCTCCGTGCCTTCTCAGTCAGCACCTTCGACTAGTGAGACTGGCCTCATAGAACTCACTACTTGGCTTGCGCCCCAGCCATCGAGCGGTACGACAACGGATTTCGTTCCCGCTCCGAGCAGTGTTGCTTCTGATGGTGAGGAGAGTAGTACTGCGCCTCCGTATGCTCCTGCTCCTAGTGCTAGTGATACGACGACGGCGACTGTTATTGTTGAACCGACTTCGTCCACGTCGAGTGCTTCAGGTCTGCCGGGGTTTACGGATGCTGCTGGAACGGTCGGGGTGCCGGTGGTTGTTGTTGGGGTTCTTGGGTGGGCTGCTTTGGTGCTGTAGGAGGGGAGGGTTCGTGATCACTTGGTTTTGGGAGGGGGGGGGGGGAGTAGATAGTAATGTTTTACGCAAATGTGGAATCCATCCTTATGAAGAGACTGATCGAAGGAGTGTATTTACGATGCTATACTAGATATCTGTCATCTGATCAACCTCCCCGTCGTGTCGCGTTCTACTTGGAGCCATAGTGCACGCTGTCCAAGTGGCGAGAGATGCGTTTCATACGATACGCGATATGAGGAACGACGTCTCCCGCTCTTATCATCACAAACCAACTCTAGTACTGGCTCCATAGGACCACTTTATCCTTGCCAGTTGGGGTCCTCAGCCTGAAGGGCACGAGCAATAGCCTCGTCGTCAGCCTCTTCAGGGTTGATGCCAATGCGTGCCTCCTCGCCAGTGAGAGCAATGGAGCCCTGCTGTCTACCAGTCATGCAGCAAGAGTAGAACAAGCTAGCCCATAGGAAAACCCTAAGTACACACCCTGATTAGTACAGACACTCGACGTATCGGAAAATGATGACCTACCAGTTGAAGAAGTTCAACCAAAGCAACAGTCCCTGCCATGTGTTGATCTTGACTCCACTGATCCACAGTCCACGCTCTCCAGCAAAGTGTGCATCTCCCTTAGCCGGTGTACTAGCGACGTGTCCGATGAAGCCTATGATCGACATGCCAATCGCAGCCGCCATCTTGAAACACTGGTATTTGATATACCTCTGCTTGGAGAGGGTACCAGCGACGGCGCGCCTCTGTTCTCGGCGGACGAGGTAGACGGTAGTGATGGAGGTCAGGAGGGGCGTGTAGAGGAGGCTCAACGTGAAGAACTTGCGCTCCGACGGGATTACGAGGGTGAAGAAGGCGGCGAGCACGGCGAGGAGTGCGATGCCCATCTGGCAGTTTTGGATGATGCGCAAGCGGGGAGAAGCATCGCGAGGGAGGGCGGAGAAGGGCCCGAAGCTCGTGGGTAGGTTCATGGACGGCATCTTGATGGTAGGTATGCCGTTATTTTCGTGGTGGTAAGAGATGTGAGGATCCAGATGTAAGCACACGATGCGGGCCTCGCAGCGTTCTTTATCGTGGGGCTGGCAGCTTCACCGGTTGCGCCTCAGGAACAACGGGATGGACACCCCTGTCAGCCACAGACCTCAGAATCCCAAATTTGGCATCTTTCTATACTCAAATTCGCGCGCCCTGGTGGGGACGTGGTGCGCGATTGGGCCGGGTGCCTGGAACTGGGGCGCGCGATACCGCAAGCGTGTCGCGTAGTTTAGGCGGCCAGCCTGGCGTAGGCGGACGTCGTGTCAAGCTGTCAGCACGCGATCTGGGTTTTGGCGAGCGAGGCTAAGAGCGTGTAGGTGTTGAGGTATTGAATATGTATCCCGGCGGCTGTCAAGATGGTGGTGAGAGATGCAAGCCATTCGCTGTTTGGAAACTGGGTATGTTCTGGGCCGTCAGCACTGCGCTCAAACTCGAATAAAGCAATGAAGGTGTCAGCCGACTTTGTGCCATCGCCATCGCTCGAGTCGTTGAACTGAACATCGTCGTAAGACTTGCTCGTCGTTCCTACTCTTGTAACATCTGCATTTACTTTTGCAATCTGAGTATGCGTTGTTTCCGCTAATGCGCCATACTCTTTGCGCCTGAGGCAGTCATCAATACGAGAGATTGGATCATCGGTAGCATTAGCGACCTCAAACACCAGCATGAAAAGCCACCCGTTGTCGCTGGTCGCATGATCGGGTTTCGAGATCGATGAGGAATTTAACCAGATCCTCTCGCACGCGAAGCGGCTCATCTGCGCCAGACACGGCATGAATTGAACTGTCCTCTTCGTCGGGTGGTTGAGCGCATACAGGTACTCGGTAGATGCGAGATCTTGGACGCGTGAAGTCTCGTATAAGGCTAAATAGTTATCCAGGCCATCGCTGGGGTTTTGAGCGCGGTAACGGCGCGCGCGTTGGAAGCCCGGGAGGCATACACGCTCGGGCAGGTGCTCGTTGGTCCACCAATCGTTCAGTGCATCTTGATCGACTGTGGCAGAGTCAACAGATCCCCATAGGACGAGGATACCGTTAGTCGTTTGCGACGCGGTTGAGGGAGATGCCATCTCATGCTAAGGCGAGTCGGGCGGTGCGGTTCACGACGCTGGCCAGCCTTGGGTTGCTGATAATACAACTCGCCGCAATTTCAGTTTGATACGAATTGTGCGTATGTCGCAAGATGGCTCAGAAGACTCAAAGGGATTGCTTTGCCCAGGCAGGTCTTATTGCACGCGTGCAGTGCTGCTCTTATCGGACCTTACGGTGATTTGCCAAGTGGGGCAGCTGCCGGTTGTTCCTGCAGCTCTCCGCACAACGATCATCCCACGTCTCTCCCTTCCACCAACCTGCCCTTGTCCAACATGCCCAGGGGGTGACAAAACGCTCTTCACCATGCGACAAATTCTGAAAAAGCCGATGATCGGCAATCCGCACGTTCGTCCGATGGTCGCGGCCTGAAACTGGTATCCCCAAGCCTCGGCCGGCGAGAATAACGTCTCAGTTTCTGCCGGTGCCATGAAATTCTCGAAGGCTATGCGCTTCGCCACGGCGCGGCGCATCGCCAGATGACCTGCTCCTCGAATCGTGCAGCAGCTTTTACGGCCGAGGAGAATTACAATCTCGCTCACTTGCATCCGAAAATCGATAACGCTCGCGCCAAAGGGATCGCTCCCTCTTAAGCGTACATCGAATCGGTAGAAGACTCTGCCTTTACAAACAAACTGGAACGAACAATCCCTTGCTCTGGATCCGCGATCTTCGCGCGTGGGAACCGGTGAACAACATCTGGGAACCATGTCAAGCTCTTGTCAAATTCATCTACCGGCACTATGAGCATGACAACGCACCCTATGCCTGCTAGGTTTGCAAAATTAATTGGCTGGATAGCTCCGCTGGATGGCATTGTCTAATTTCCCACGAGATAACCCACACGGCTAACGCAGATCGACACTAGCATTCAGCCTGTCTGCGGCAACTAGCCGAACAAGCCTTGTTACCAAGGTCAGGGGAAAATATTAAGTAGCAATGCGCCTCCTCGTACGGGCGTCTGCACGCCGTCAAGCCTCAGCTCCTCGTATCGTCAGTCGTTTTTGCGACCACACACTCATTTATACCCAATCCAGTCATTCTTTGTACTTGCGCAACTCCGACCGTTATACCCTAATCTAATCCTTGTTTTTTACGAGACCCACCCAACCCACCATGCGTCAATCCATTGCTATCCTCTCCATCCTGGCAAGCGCGGCTTGTGCTGAAGACGTCGTCAGCTTCTTTTTCCCCGGTGGTACGTCACTCTAGTCCGAGGAACACCGCAGATCAAAGTCTAACAAGCGCAGGCTACGACGGCATCGACCCTGTCGCAACCATCAACACCGCCAACCCCTCCACTACCGAGTTCCACATCGCATGCCCCACGGGCGTCGACGATAGCGAGTGCGGCTGGGGCCCAGGCCTCGATGTCACCATCCTTTCGCAAACGCGCTTCCAAGCCCAAATGTCTACCGATACGATATCCATGAGCCTCGGATGCGACTACAATGAGAAGGCAGTCGAGATGACTTGCACGGTGAACCAGCTTGGTGGCAATGACGATACAGGCGGCAAACCCATCACTGCGACACTGTCCAGTGATGATGTGCAGTTCCTTTCTGCAACCGTCGTTGCTGGAAACAGCCTCTTGACTCCTGCTGCAAGTGCTGCGACCAGCATGACTGCCTCAGCGCAAGCTGGCAGCACTGTTGCTACTACTATGAGGAGTGCTAGCACGGGCGCGATGACACCCAGTGGATCTGTCATGCCGACTAGCACCATGGCTTCTTCGGCTTCAGCGTCTACACCGGCTGCCAGTGGATCTGATTCGGCATCTGCTTCTCTGCCCGAGAGCACCGGTGCTGCTCACAAGTACGGCATTGAGGGCTCTGCGCTGCTGGCCCTTGCTGGTGCTGCTGCGCTGAACCTCTGGTGAATGCGCCAACGAGGTAGTTGGTAGATGATAAATAAACGTTAACGAAGACCATCACTGGCAACAAAGACGCGATTTATCATTTTGTCAGAATCCAACCGCGACCGATGTGTCGATTTGTGACTTACTAACTACCATCTTCAAGCCGTCCCGTTACCTCTAATCATCGAGTTGAAAGTTTTTGTTTGTTGATAGACGACCAGTACTCACTGGGGGACAGCCCGGCTCAGACCGCCACACAGTCCACACTTCCTGCCCAGTCACGGCATCCCGAGTCCGAACGTTTTCTAGCACGACCGTAGCAGGCACAGGCCCTTCGATGAACCGATGCAGCTCAACAACACGCAACCTATCAAGGCGATAACCCAAAGCACAACCGCAAATCTTCTCCGCAAACTTGAAAGCCAACGCGTCAGCTGGCTGAAAGACTATGCGTTCCATCGTGTGGGGGGGTCTTTTCCTTGTAAGCAAGTACGCTGAGGAGTTGAACCGAAGCGTGTGTAGACTTTTGAGCCTTCTACACAAGTACCTGAGCTTTTTTGCATTTCCAAGTTGTAATCTCCCCATTGGGTCGACAGTGTCGTTGCATTCCCAGAGGATAGTCAGGTCTGTGATAGGCGCGATGTCACCCTTGAGGAAATTTGCAAATGGGTGCCGTCCGTTGTAGTCCAGGGTCAGATGTGTGAGACTGCTCATGTTGATACATAGCCAGTTGAGGTTAGTGGATAGAGTCAAGCTCTTTACATTCGTCATGCTCAGACCTTGACTTAGCCGACAAATACCAGTTTGTTCCTCTCGCTTGAGAAACCAACCTAGATTTCCATACACGTTGTTGGAACTAGAAGCTGCTTTGGCGTAGATCTCGACAGCGCGCAGTTGAGGCAAAGACGCCAATATCAAACTAGCGACCATGAGTTCGCTCGGACAAGAGAGGCTCTGTATCCATCGCGCGTGACCTGCGCCGGATCGCTGGGAGCCATCGGGAAGAGTGTACACAATCTTGGCCATCTTTGCTGCTAAACTTCCTGGCTCATGGTCCGACGATTCGCTTAGGTATTGTGACGGCCGTATAGGCACACCTTGCCATAACCATATCGCTAGACTGCACACATTTTCCACGAGATCGGGGCGCTCGATGATTGTACGCAAGAAATGCAGCATTGGTGATGCATAAAAGCCGTCGTACGACGGTTCGCGGTCTTGTAATTGGCGCGGTAGCGATACATTTTTGAACAAGAATTCTTGCGCAACGGGTGCAAGCCGCTTGCATGTCAATGCTAGATTCACGAGTGGTTGCGTGCTTTCTCTATGTTTCTGCCGTGTCTCTGTGGCACTCTGGGGAAGTGTAGCTGTTGGCGGATCTTTGGGATGAAGAGGAAGCCAAGTGGGCGAACCATAGCCAGCGTCTTTGTCGATTCTCACGTCGGGCTCTAGGTAGCTGGCAATCTGGAGGAGGAGCTCGTTGGGTAGGTCGAGAAGCGAGGGTTTGCTAGTCATGGACATTTTGGTTTCGGATGCCTGAATAGAGTGCTCAAGAGTCCTTGAGCTTGAGACAGAAACGAAACATGACCAAATTATAAGCGGTTCACGGAGACCGTAGATATGAAGGTCATAATTAGACAAAAGAGGTTTTTATGATTCACAACGCCACTTACACCCAAACACTGTTCAAGACGGGTTGTGCACCTGTACCACATGTCGAACTATATGAATCTCATTCTCGCACTGTAAGAGTCAACGTTCTAATTCAGTCGCCTACCCTTGCTCCGTACTCCTTCCAAAATTATGCACTTTGGATACTTCCTCTTGCCCGCGCATTCGCAGTTAGGACGACAAAAGTCGCCACAGTCAGGTATGCAAATATGTCTAAGAACCCAAAGCTCATGATGACGCTAAACCCCAACACAGCATACACCAGCCGTCCGTACACTAGAAACTTCAACATTTTCCTGCTGGACCTTGGAAAGTGTGTTTCATATGT